AAATTCTTGCAAGGCTTGCAGTTATGTTTCTGAGCAGGAATATCTCATAGATGTCAGAAGCTCCAGAGTTAAAGGTCATGATAGTCACATACAACATCAAAAATGAAAAAAAAAACACCTTTAGAACTCTTTAGTTGAATAGCTTGCAAAATATGTTTAGTAGTCAGATCCTGTTTACAAATAAAACTTTTTGTAACCCCAATTTATAAAATAAATAAAAAATAAAGTTGCTTTGATTGAAGCAAGAATGGTTTTCTCTTACTTTCTTGGAAGCAGTAAAAACATGATTCCACTTTTAAAAAGAAAACACAATAAGCCCTGGCCGGTTTGGCTCAATGGATAGAGCGTCAATCTGAGCACCAAAGGGTCCCGGGTTAAATTCTGGTCAAGGGCATGTACCTTGGTTGCAGGCTCCTCCCCAGCCCAGGCCCTGGTTGGGGCTCATGCAGGAGGTAACCAATTGATGTGTTTCTCTCACATCGATGTTTCTGTCTTTCCCTCTCTCTTCCACTCTCCCTAAAAATCAATGGAAAAATATCCTCAGGTGAAGATTAAAAAAAAAATCCAAAAGGCTGCCAAAATAAACAACATTAAGAGTAAACCCTAGGTAAACTATGGACTTTGGTAATTATGATTGTCAATGTAGGTTCATCAATTGTAACAAATGTTGTTGGTAGAAGATATTGATAAGGAGAGAAGCTTTGCATGTGTGGGAGCAGGAGTATAAGGGTACAGGGGAGATCTCTGTACCTTTCCCTCAATTTTGCTCTTACCCTTAAACTGCTCTAAAAAAAATTCTGAATTTTAAAAACACACAAAAGAAACATTATGTATTGACAAACTTATTTACTCTTTAGATGCCATTATCCAAATAAGTAGCTTCCAAGAAATGTGAATTTTCAACTTCCAAGATCCATTCTTTCCAGGTGGCCATTGAACCTTGTACAATGAGTAGAAGTGGCTATCTCCCGCAGATCTAGATGCCTTCATGAGTTTTTCAGTCATCTGACTAGAAATCATACTCCAAAGGAAAATGCTTTTAATACTCTGGCTTTTACCATTTTTAAGTATACAGTTCTGTGACTTTTAGCACATTCACAATGTTGTACAATCATAACCACTATCTAATATCAGAATATTTTCCGCACCTCCCAAAGAAACCCAGTAGTCATTACATTGTCATTTCCCATCCTCCACCCCTTGCCTCTTGTCCCTGGCAACAACTAACCTCCTTTCTTTTTCTATAGATTTGCCTATTCTGGAAACTTCAAATAAATAGACTTAAACAATAAGAGGCCCCTCTGTCTGGCTTCTTTCACTTACTAGTAACATAATTTTTTTCAAAGTTCATTCATGTTGTAGTGTATTCATTCCTTTTTAGGGACACATAATATGCCATTGTATGGATATACCACATTTGTTTAGCAACAATGTACATTTGGGTTGTTTCCACTTTTGGCTACAATGAAAAATACTGCTATGAACATCTGAACACCAGTTATTGTAGGAAAGTACTTTTTTAGTTATCTCAGATATATACCTAGGAGTGCAAAACCTGACTCATATGGAAAGTCTAGGGAGAAACCAAGATGGCAGCATAGGTAAATACCTGACATTGCTGCCTCGCACAACCACTTAAAAAATACAACTAAAAGACAAAACGGACATCACCCAGAACCACAGGAAGGCTGGCTGAGTGGAAATTCTACAAGTAGAAGGAAAGAGAAAAGCACACTGAGACTCAGAGGAGGTGCGGAAGTAAAGTGCAGAGGTACGGAGGCACGTGCAGAAAGGGCTAGCAACTGAGGACACGGTTGTCTTTTTCAATCAGGAGGGAGACACAAGCTCCCAACTGCTCTGAACTCCAGTTCCAGGTGAGTCTCTGGGGACACAGACTCATAAGGGGAGAAAATGGACTATCTGGCATTGGGCAGAACTCAGGGTGGCTTTCTCTCAGAGGTGCTTGCAGCGATTACCAGGGGACACTGAGACCCGGGGTCACTTAGGGCAGGAATGAGGATCAGCCATAGCTGTTTGCTCTGCCCTGTTGATTCCCTGAGACCCCACCCCATCCAAGCTGTGCACAGAGGCTTTTGCATATGAATGACCTGGTGCTTTGCAATCTAAAATTAACTAACAAACTGCAGCTGGGTCAGAGAGACCCAGAACATCCAAAAGAAGGCCCAAGGCCCCACAGCAGCTTGCATTGCTTCACAGTTCGGCCTCATCTGGGCACCTCCAAACCCCAAACAAAGAAGAGGAATCTGCAGATATCTCCATAGCTCCTGCTGAGTAGCCTCAGGCAGAGGCTAAATTAGCACCTCCTTAGAGATCCAAGAGCCAGTGTACCCAGTGGTCAGAGTGGAACCATCCAGATTACAACTCCTTAGATCCATAAGGGACACACTCAAGGGGCAGACTCAGTGAACACCAAAGCCCCACTGAAGCAAGTCTTGCTCCATAAGGGTGTCTCCAGCACAGAAGTTCTCCCACCATAGACACAGCTGATTCTCACAGCCAATTGGCCTGGAGGTCAATTCCTCCCAGTGATACCTACAACAATCAAGGCTTAAATACAACAAGACTGTGCACAAAGCCCACAAAGGGGTGCACCAAGAGTGTCCACCTCAGGTAACTGGGGAGGCTGAGCCACTGGGCCCTATAGGACACCTAGCACAAAAAGCCACTCTATCAACACAAGGAAGCATAAAAAATGCGGAGACAAAGAAACAGGTCACAAATGACAGAAATGGAGGAAAGCAAACTACTGGATATAGAGTTCAAAACCACACTTTTAAGGTTTTTCAAGAATTTTCTAGAAACCACCGATAAATTTAGTGAGACCCTCAAGAAATCTGGTGAGACCCTTGAGGTTATGAAAAAGGGCCAACTAGAAATTAAGCATACACTGACTAAAATAAACAATATTATACAGAGTTCCAACAGCAGGCTAGAGGATCGCAAGAATCAAGTCAAAGATTTGAAGTACGAAGAAGCAAAAAACACCCCAACCTGAAAAACAGAAAGAAAAAAGAATCCAAAAATATGAAGATAGTGTAAGGAGCCTCTGGGACAACTTCAAGCGTTCCAACATCCGAATTATGAGGGTGCCAGAAGAAGAGAGAGAGCAAGATATTGAAAACCTATTTGAAGAAATAATGAAATGCTGAAAGGTATCCTTTAAGAAGAGGAAGAAGAAGAAAAAGGTGAAGATAAAAATTATGAACAACAAGTACATATTTGTCAACAAGTGAATCTAAATATCAAGTGAATAAATAATCTGATGAACATAATAAACTGCTGAATATAATAGAATCAGGGCCATAGAAAGGGAATGGACTGACTATTCTTGGTGGAGGGAAGGGGTGTGAGGGGTGCGGGAAGAGACTGGACAAAAATCGTACACCTATGGATGAGGACAGTGGCGGGGGGGGGGGGTAAGGGCAGAGGGTGGGGTGGGAACCGGATGGAGGGGAGCTATGGGGGGAAAAAAGAGGAACAACTGTAATAATCTGAACAATAAAGATTTAATTAAAAAACATATACCTATAAATAAATATATTTGTAAAATATATATATATGTATATATATATATATATATATCTGCATCTAAGCTTATGATTTATTACAAAGTTTTATTTAGCTAGGTATGCAAAAATATATTCAAATGTAAGGTATATGTTCATTGAATAATAATCATTGAATACGTAACTGTGCCAGATACATCGCTAGTTATTTTTTGTCTATTAAGTATGATAATTTTGTATAGATTATTTAATATTTGCCTTTTAAAAAGAAATAAAACATAGTTAGAGAAAAAATAATTATAATGAAAAATTGATGTTCATTTGGCCATGATTAACCAAGGTTTTACTCTACTTTCTGGTGTCAGGAATGTTAGTTCTTTGTCTTTAGAGCTTGAGCAGTCTTTAAAGTATTTTCTGGTGAACTTCTCCATCACAGTTTGTGATTTCCACAGATTTTGTCTTATTATTCTTTAGATTCTTGCAAATGACAAATACACATTCACACATGTATACACATGATTATAAACTATGTCTATATATAATTACAAATAATTTCAATTACTATTTAATGTGATATACTGTGTCACAATTGTGACCTGCATATCTAGATAACTTCAATCTCTAGTCTATTAGTTAATTGACTTTCTTAAGTAACAATATGCAATTATTATACTTTCTGAGATCAGCTATTTTTTCTTTGCCTATGAGGAGGAAGAGGCCATAAAGGTTTAATTAATCAAGTAATGAATGATTAAATATAGCCTGAGTCTATTGGCCTCAGTAACTTTTCTAAATTATGTGTACTTATTTAGCAGGGAATAAAGCATCCATGGATTACTTTTGCAATCCTTAGGAAACAGGAGGGTTTTTGTATTTTGTATGGAGGCTTTGTAGTTAATGGCAACATGATTACAGAGTTTGCACATATTTGTCATCATGCTCCTCCTCTACCATGAGATTTCATCTTTTCTCATCGAGAAGTGGAATTTGTATCTTGAATCCATCAGATTCAAGATCTGGATTTGATCATATGACTTATTTTGGTTAATAATACTTTAGCAGGCATGACACAAGCCATGACTTGAAAACTGTTTCAACAATGAAGCTTGCCCTCTCATACTGCTCTTAGGAACACTGTAACTATCACCATAGGAAAAAAACCCAGGCTAACCTATTTAATAATAAACTACATATGGCAAAATTTCCTTCATTACACCTGGTGACAAGAAGCCAACAACTGGACAGATGGCTCAGTTAGTTAGGATGTCCTCCCATAAACCAAAAATGTTGTGGGTTCTATCCCCACTCAGGATGCATATGGGAGGCAATTGATGGATGTTTCCCTCCCACATCAATGGTTCTCTCTCTCTCTCTCTCTCTCTCTCTCACCCACCCCTCCCTCTCTCTCTGTCCCTCTCTGTCCCCCTCTCCCTTTCCTTTCCTCTCTCTCTCAAATCAATAAGCATATATTCGGTGCTCACTTCAGCAGCACATATACTAAATTTGGAACAATACAGAGAAGATTAGCATGGCCCCTGCGCAAGGATGATACCCAAATTTGTGAAACATCTATCATTCATAATTAAAGGAGAAATAATGAGCTTCACAGACAAAAAAAAGGCTAAGGGAATCTATGACTACCAAGCCAGAAATGCAAGAAATGCTAAAGGGACAGGTGTAAAAAGAAGAAATAAAAAGGAAAGAACAAACACAGGCACAAAAAATAAAAATGGCTACAAACAAGTACCTATCAATAATAACTTTAAATGTAAACCGACTAAATGCTCCAATCAAAAGACATCGAGTGGCTGAATGGATTAAAAAAAAACATTACCAATATATATGCTGTCTACAAGAGACCCACCTCAGAACAAGGGAATCACACAGACTGATAGTGAGGGGATGTAAAAATTTCTTTCAGGCAAAAGGAAAAGATAATAAAAGCTGGGGTACCAATACTTATATCTGACAAAATAGATCTCAAAGTGAAGGCCATAACAAGAGATAAAGAAGGTCACTTCATAATACTAAAGAGATCGATACAACAAGAGGATATAACCCTGATAAACATTTATGCACCCAATGCAGGGAGCACCCAGATACTAAAAAACAAACAAACAAACAAAAAAACAAAACTCCTGGAAGATATCAGGGGAGAGATTGACAGCAATACAGTCATAGTAGGGGACTTTAATACCCCACTGACATCACTGGATAAATCCTCTAGACAAAAAAAATCAGCAAAGAAACAGCATTCCTAAATGACTCACTAGATCAGATGGACTTAATTGATATCTACAGAACATTTCACCCTAAAGCCATGGAATATACATTCTTCTCAAGTGCATATGGGACATTTTCAAAGATAGACCACATATTGGGTCACAGGCAAAGTCTCTCCAAATTCAAGAAGATTGAAATCATATCAAGCATCTTCTCAGACCACAATGGCATAATATAAGAAATAAACTACAATAAAAACAATCAAAAAATTCAAACACTTGGAAGCTGAATAGCATGCTATTAAACAATGATTGGGTTACCAAAGAGATCAAAGAAGAAATTAAAAACATCCTGGAAACAAATGACAATGAAAATACAACAATCCAAAATCTATGGGACACAATGAAAGCAGTCTTAAGAGGGAAGTTTATAACTCTAGAGGCCTACCTCAAAAAACAAGAAAAAATGGTAGTAAATTATCTAACTCTACATCTCAAAGAATTAGAAAGAGAGCAACAAGAAAATCCCTGAGTGAGCAGAAGGAAGGAGATAATAAAGATCAGAGCAGAAATAAATGACAAAAAAAAATACAAAAGATCAATGAAACAAAGAGGTGGTTCTTTGAAAGGATAAACAAGATTGATGAACCTCTATCCAGGCTCACTGAGAAACAAAGAGAGAAGACCCAAATAAACAAAATCAGAAATGAAAAAGGCTAATTAACAACAGACCCCCACAGAAATAAAAAGGCTTATTAAAAAATACTATGAACAACTCTATTTCAACAAACTAGACAACCTGGAGGAAATGGACATATTCCTAGAAAAATACAACCTTCTAAAACTCAATCAGGAAGAATCTAAAAATCTCAATAGGCCGATAAGTATGGAAGAAATTGAAGCACTCATCAAAAAGCTCCAGCAAACAAAAGCCCGGGGCCAGATGGCTTCACAGGGGAGTTTTACAAAACATTCAAGAAAGAACTGAAACCTATCCTCCTCAGACTAATCCAAAAAATTCAACTGGAAGGAACACTTCCAAGCACTTTCTATGAAGCCAGCATTACCCTAAAACAAAACAAGATAAAGACAACACAATGAAAGAGAATTATCGGCCAATATCCCTCATGAACATAGATGCCAAAATCCTCAACAAAATTCTAGCAAATCAGATCCAACATTACATCAGAAAGATCATACACCATGACCAAGTAGGATTTATACTGGGGATGCAAGGATGGTACAATATCTGCAAATCAATAAATATGATACATCACATATAAAAATGAGAGATAAAAATTAGTCATAAAAAAACAACAATTTTTTCAAGCATAATAAAAAAAATCATAGTCATATCAATTGATGCAGAAAAAGCATTTGACAAAATCCAACACCCTTTCTTAATAAAAACCCAAAGCAAAATGGGAATAGAAGGATCATACCGCAACATAATAAAAGCCTTATATGACAAACCTAGAGCCCACATCATACTCAATAGGTAAAAACTAAAACCATTTCACTTAAGAACAGGAATGAGACAAGAATGACTACTTTCACCACTCCTGTTTGACATAGTTATGCAATTGCTAGCCATAGCAATTAGACAAGAAGAAGAAATAAAAGGCATCCAAATTGGAAAAGAAGATGTAAAACTGTCATGATTCTCAGATGACATGATACTGTACTTGGAAAACCCTAAAGACTCTATCAAAAAATTATTAGTCTTAATAAATGAATTCAGCAATGTAGAAGGATACAAAATAAATGCCAAGAAATCTATGGCCAATAGTGAACATATAACAAGAGAGACTAAAAAAGCAATCCCATTTACCATTGCACCAAAAAAATTAAGATACCTAGGAATAAACTTAATTAAGGAGGTGAAAGACCTGTACTCAGAAAACTACAGGACACTGAAAAACGAGATAGAGGAAGACATAAACAGATAGAAGAACATCCTGTGTTCATGGATTGGTAGAATCAACATCATTAAAATCTCCATACTACCAAAAGCAATCTGTAGATTCAATGCACTGCCCATTAAAATACCAACAGCATATTTCACAGACTTAGAAGGAACTCTTCAAAAATTCATCTTGAATAAAAAACAACCCTGAATAGCTACAGTGATCTCAAGAAAGAAGAACAAAGTAGGTGAGATCTCAATACCAGATATCAAGCTGTATTACAAAGCCACTGTTCTCAAAACTGCCTGGTACTGGCACAGGAACAGACATAGATCAATGGAATAGAATAGAGAACCCAGAAATTGACCCAAACCATTATGCTCAATTAATATTTGACAAAGGAGGCATGAACATACAATGGAGTCAAGACTTCAATAAATGGTGTTGGGAAAATTGGACAGATACATGCAAAAAAAAAATGAAACTAGACCACAAACTTACACCATACAGAAAAATAAACTCAAAATGAATAAACTTAAACATAAGACAGGAAACCAGAAAAATATTAAAGGAATCCGCAGGTAGCAAAATCTCAGACATATGCCGAAGCAATTTCTTCGCCGATACAGCTCCTAGGGCAATAGAAACTAAAGAGAAAATAAATAAATGGGACTACGTCAATATAAAAAGCTTTTGTACAGGAACCATTAAGAAAACAACAAGAAAGCTCAATGCATGGGGGAACATATTTGCCAATGTTATCACTGATAAGGGTTTAATCTCTAAAATTTACAGGGAACTCATACAACTTCACAAAAGAAAGATAACTCAATCAAAAAATGGGCAACGGACCTAAATAGATACTTTTCTAAAGAAAACCTAAGTAAGGCCATGAGACATATGAAAACATGCTCAAAGTCACTAATCATCCGAGAGATGCAAATAAAAACGACAATAAGGTACCATCTCACACCTGTGAGAATGGTTATCATCAACAAATCAACAAACGACAAGTGCTGGTGAGGATGTGGAGAAAAAGGAACCCTCGTGCACTGCTGGTGGGAATGCAGACTGATGCAGCCACTGTGGAGAACAGTATGGAGTTTCCTCAAAAATCTAAAAATGCAACTCCCATTTGACCCAGTGATGCCACTTCTAGAAATATATCCCAAGAAACTAGAAACACCAATCAGAAAGTATATATGCATCCCTATGTTCATAGCAGCACAATTTACAATAGCTAAGATTTGGAAACAGCCTAAGTGCCTATCAGCAAATTAGTGGGTTAGAAAACTGGTACACAATGGAATAGTATGCTGCTCTAAAAAGGAAGGAATTCCTACCATTCGCAACAGCATGGATGGTCCTGGAGAGCATTATGCTAAGCGAAATAAGCCAGTCAGAGAAAGATAAATATCACATGGTCTCACTCATTTTTGGAAAATAATGAACAACATAAACTGATGAACCAAAACAGATCCAGAGACAGAAAAGCATTGATCAGACTGTCAAACCTCACAGGGAAAATAGGGGAGGGTGTGGGTAATGGGGATAGATTACCCAAAGGACTTGTATGCATGCTTATAAGCCTAACCAATGGACACAGATACCAGGGGGGTGAGGGTATGAGTGGGGAGGTGGGGGGACAATGGGGGAATAAGGACACATATGTAATACCTTAATTAATAAAGAAAATTTTATAAAAAGAAAGGGAAAGAGAAAAAATAAATAAATACATAAAAGGTGATTAAGATGGAGTTAGTAAGCAATTCTAGGGACATGATTCAAATCATAAAAAAAAATAAAACAAAACAAAATAAACATATATTTCGGTGAGGATAAAAAAAAAAAGAATATCAACTCCTAGCTAACTACAACGATATAAGGGAGCACAGATGACACAACAGAGAAAAACCATCCTAGCTTTACCAAGCCAAAATTAATTGCCCACACAATTGTGCATAAACAAATGTGTTTCTTTAAACTACTAAGTGTTAGGTTGTTTTCTCAAACCAAAATGAATTAATAAAAGTCTATATACCTATGTCAATATTTCTCAAACTTTAATGGGCATTTGAATTACCTGAGGATCTTATTAAAATGCAGATTCTGACTCAGTAGGTCTGGACTTGGGCTCAATATTTTGCATTCTTAATGAGTTCCAATAGATGATGATAATATTGGTCCACTAAACACATTTTCATTAACAGTAGCCTGTGTGATAAGAGACATAAAATGGTTCATACAAATGTTTGCTTCTCTAGTCAATGAAGTCCATGATTTTTATCAATAAAATAAACCAATTTTAAATTTAAATAAATTTATATTATCTTCTCATCTAACAAACAGATAACAATTCCACCTCGAACACAACACACACACAATTCATTATCAGAATGCAGTCAAATAGAAACCTTCAGTGTAGAAGTCTAGAAAACCATAGTACCATAT